TTGTCCCTGGTGTGTTTAATTTACCACACTTTCTCCTAGCACCTAGTCATTTCCTTCTTGATCTGGTGTGTGTAGTTGTTCAGATTTGCAGCTCCAGATGTCTTTTTTTGTTTTCAGTCTACAGGCCCTGATGCTATAACTTGTTGCATGTAGGCCACTAATTTTGTAACACTTCAGTTTCTTTATTTGTCAAGTAAGACGAAGGGGTAATTATTTATATGGCTCATTGGCACATTTAAATTTTGCTATATTAGAGTAAACAAGTAAAGTGCTGTGCAGATTGTGTGTTTATTACTGTTATTTAACTCCAAGTTCATAATCTGGAACCTAACCAAGTCTCTTTGGAGACTACATCTAAATAGGGTGCATAAGAAGTTGGGGGTACATATTGGACAAATAAGATTCAATTTAAATGCCAATTCTAAAAGCTGAGAATTTTCTGCAGACATTGCATGAGATGTTAAGTACTGTCATGCTATACTCAAAGACAAGAATATGTTCTGAGAAATGAGTCCTTCAGCAGTTTTGTTGTTGTGGAAGTACCCTAGAGTATACTTAGACAAACCTCAGTGGTATAGCCTACTACATACCTAGGCTGTATGGTAGAGCCTCTTGCTCCTGGACTACAACTCTGTACAGTGTGTTGCTATACTGAATACTGTAGGCAGTTGTAACAACACAATGGTAATTATTTGCGTATCTAAACACATCCACACATAGAAAAGGCACAGTAAAAATGCGATGTTACAATCTTACGGAATCATCGTGTATGTGGTCTATTAACCAAAGTACAGTTATGCAGTAAGTGACTATTAACTTTTAAATATTGTCTTTATTGTAAAAATAATGCAGATTTCCTTCAGTTTTTAGAATTGCCTATCAAAATAGGTGATAGTGATTTACATGAGTAAACATATAGGTTGGCTTTGGGGCTGCTCATGACTCTGGGTTACTAAATAGGAGATTTGTTCTCCACTCTACCAAATGTCATTCATGTGATGGAAATTCTGCATAAATTCTAATGTTTGTACTATCTATTTCCTTTCCATACTTTTGTCCATTTGACTAGTAAGTACTACCACATCCTGAAGTTTTATATATATATTTTTTTTAACAGACAGTGTCTTGCTATGTTGCCCAGGCTGGCCTTGAGCTCCTGGGCTCAAGTGATCCTCCTGCCTAGCTGGGACTAAGGTGTGCACCGTTGTGCCCAACACTCAAGGTTTTTTTGCAGTTGATTTTCTTGGTGTTCTAAAAGTTTTGCACCAAATGAAGGATTGAAGTTTTATATGTTTTGAGGTTTTTTTTTTTTTTTTCTGGCCTTAATCTTTTTTTGTGATTTTTGGGTTAAGAAATTAGAAGAAATTTGATTTCCATGATGTTTTCAGTTGTTGTTTTCTTTGAAAGAATATTCTTGATACAATGTTAAAATGAATCTTAAAATGTAGATTAATATACAAGTCTATGTATTTCTCCACTCCTGCTGAGTGACTGTTCCACTCTCTCTGGAACGCATTTTCCCATTGTGTAAAACTTTCTTTACTTTCATTCTTTATTTTATGTGATAAACTGTTTGTATTAAGAAAATATATATACAAGTCTGTTTTTCCTGTGTGGAATTTGCCTGTAGAGCTAAATACTTTTTCAGATAAAATTCAAACAGTGAGTAAGTTTGTTGCACACTTAGAGCTGTGAGCAAAGTTGTCATGAGTTTGTTTTCAACCTTGAAGATAATCTTTTAGCATTTTTATGTTTTTCCTCTTAAAGTCATACATGCCATCTATTTTATTTCAGTGCTTTAGGACTTAAAGATTTTATGTGAACAAGGCTGGTGATTATTTTCACAAAAATGAAGGTTAGAAAAGTATATTTGAGGATCTAATAGTCTGGGATATTTATAGATTGGGCTTATAACTTCTATTAATAGTTTGTTTCATCATTATGAGATAGCTTATTAATAAGTTGGAATCTTTGAGTTCATTCATTTCAGGTTATCAAAACATGACTTCTAGCAGTATAATTGTTAATAGAATTCTCATTTGTGTGTGTGTTTTAAAAATAAATAACGTGGTAGGCATAAGTAATTGGTCACTACAGAATATTCTGTAAGGAAAACATTCTGAAGGAAATCATTGCAGGACGAAAACTTCTGGCCTCTGGGTTCTTATCTGAAGCCAATGAGACATTATTAGATTTTGGTTGTAGTTGAGGTGGTAATATTCATGGAGAGAGTATGGATCTTAGTACCAGCATTCAGAGGACTGGTCCTCAACAGATTCCTTGAACTTTCTTCATTTGGATTTGTCTGCCATGTGAGGGGTTGCACTTGATCGTCTCTCACGGCCTTTCTAGCTCTCTGGTTTTGTTGCTACCCCACTGAGTGGGAGATCCTATATCCATCATATGTTAATCTTTTATTTACTTTCAGGGAATTAAAATTCCAAAGTTTAACAGAATCTGTCCTATTTTAAAGATTAATTTACACTTTAAAAGCAGGTAGTACTTTGATAAACATCTGTGTTTCCACTTGTCATTCTTTCCCTTAAATCTCAAGAATTATCCCAAAATAGGCTATTGGCTGATTATGGTGTTGGTTGATGAGCTCTAAAGATTTTGGAAGCATTGTTCTTATCTTGGTGACTATAGGTCAAAATAACTAGTATGATTTACATTTATTTGAATGACTTAATACCACATGACATACAGTAGGCATTAATAGGAGAGAGAGGGCAGGTGAGAACTACCAACTTTGTTTAGTGATAGTATTCTTTGCTTTTTAAAGTGAGAGCAGCAGTATCATGCTATTCTCTTTTGTCTATCCATGCTGTTTTGGTCTAGGTGAAATGGCATTGAGATAATGTGTGAAGTAGAGAAACTTCTAAGATGACTTCTGAAAAAGACTGGCCTTTGATTTAATGCTTTAATGTGGTGCGATTCTGTATTGCAGTACTACCAAGAGAACTCTTTTAAAATATGTCACCCATTTCTTATTTTGACTAAGCTTCCCAGGTGGTTGTGATGCTCCCCCTTAATTAAAAACACCAGTGTGAATATATGTTTTCTTTACAGCAGAAATTCACCTTTGAAACTATTGTGCTATAAATTAAGACTCACATTGATTGGTTTTCATGGTGAAGTTTCCCAATATGTTACATTTTACTTTACCACAAGTATTCTTTTGAATAAATGCTTATAGTAATAACAATAATAATTAATATGTACTGAGCCCTTGCTATGTATGATCGGCACTGTGTTAAGTGGTTTTTGTGGATTTTCTCATTTAATCCTCACAACTAGTCTGTGAGGTAAGTTCTTTGTCTTCATTTGATAGACTGAAGCACAGAGAAGAGTGTGTGTGTATACACATGTGCATTTGTACATGCACACACACACAGTTTTATAACTTGGTGTTGGAGTCAGGATTTAAACTCTGACAGAGGCAGTTTGACTCTGGAGCTTTGCACTTGTATTGTGCTTGAGCAGCTTGCCCTATTGCTTATATAAATGGTTTAAATAATCTCAATAACAAGAAAAATTACTTCTTTCATTCTAAACTCCAGCCCTCCAGTCTTTCTCAAAGGCATTTGGTATTAACAAAGTCTGTTTTGTGAATTGTCCCATCAGTCTTTAACATGTAGATGATAAAATATATATACAAGTCAAATACGTACACACAAATGGAAGTTTCGTATTTTTCCCCCCAACATATCTTGGGTAGATCTTTCCAATACCAGTGTTTGCAAATTTAATCTCTACCTTTCCCTCTCCCTTCCTCCTTTCTAAAGTTTATAGTACTTACATTAGTAATTTGAACTTTCTGATTAAAGTTTATGTAGTATATTTGATTTGGGCATATGCAGCAGAAACAGTCTTTTTCTACTGAATTAGGTCAACATGTAACTCAAAAGAAAACCTACTTTCCTGTTACAATGCAAGGAATCTAATATTAAAGTCCAGTACAGTAATAGATTTAGTTATGATTAATTTACATTCTCTTTGGCACCAGGTTCTGTAATGCCGTATGATCATACGTTCTCTTTCTTCCTCAGTAAATAGTAAGTAAGAAATTGAGTTTGATTGGAGGCATACGAAAAATAGTGAAAGATTTGGTTTGGACACATTGTAATTCTTTCTATGGGTTTAATTTTGGCTTCTTTTGTCAGTAAAACTGATTTTCTGAGTATCAGCACATTGTATAATAATTAAATTTCTTACAGAAAGAAAGTTCAGATTGATTAAGAAGGGTGTTTTGAGCTAAATTGTTAACACTTAAAAAATACTTTCACAATTTCTTGTTGCTGATAACTTTGTGAGGTAGGTAATAATATTGATTTTACAGAAGAGATAAATGAAATCTAGAGATTAAGTTGTCTAAGGTCATGGCTAACAGAGCTACTGTTGAAATCCAGGGTATCTGGGACCATTGCTTGGTTTACTGTGTTTGAGCTGCTTTCTCATCATCTCTTTAGGATAACACAGTTTTACAGTTTTCTTTGTATTTATTATTTCATTTGTTATTCACGACAATACTGTGAAGGCGGCATGACACATGTTTTTAATTCTGTGGGTTTAGAGACTGTGAGTTATATAAAGGCAAACTCCTTTATAGCTGTTCTATCACAAGGCTTCAACTAAGGTGTTTTGATTTTAGATGCAATGCCCATTTATGCACAGTACTAGAAATGTGGAAAGACATATTTCTACCTGTGCTCTGTTTTCTTTGAATTGAGAATTTCCTGGCTATTTCATGAAAAATGTAAGTTAATTTTATATGCTGAGTTCTGGACCACATGCCTTGGATTTGTTACATTCCTGACATTTTGTAAGACATTAATCAATCATACTTCACAGTTTAATAAGACAGTGCAACATTGGTGAAAGCTGTAAAATCAAATACTTTGTATAAAATTTCTTCATTGCCTTCAGTGCCCCTCATTTCTTTTTTGTATTGTATCGTGTACATCTGTTATATATTCTTTTTTCTTTTGTTTTTCTTTTAGTGAATGGTAGTGTCTAGAAAGGGTATGTCCCTTCAAGAGAGAGGTGCCAATGTCCAACCGGCCTAATAACAATCCAGGGGGGTCACTGCGACGTTCACAGAGGAACACTGCCGGGGCCCAACCACAAGACGACTCGATAGGAGGAAGGTATGTATTACATGGTAATTCGAAAAGGAATTGGGAATAAAAAAAATATTTTCAAACCTCATCGTGATGACCAAAACTTGAATGGCTCATTGCAACTGAGTAATTTTTCCTAAATTTTGAGCCAAAGTAACACAAAGAAAACTGAAATCCAAAGCAAATTCTAAATCTTTCCTTAAATACAGTAGGCCCAAAAAAACAGTTCTCAATCATTGACATTTTCAAACACCTAATTTAGGGTCCTTAGTGTATGGTACGTCATGTTTTGTTTGCCCTTTCTCTTCACTTCCTTACATATATGCAAAAACACATCTTTTCCACCATTTGTAGTCCCTTTCCTTTATGTATGTCTTGACTTGATACTTCATTGAAAGGAAGCTTCATTTGTCTTAAGAACTTGAATCTCGATACTCGGCTTTTGCATTTTTTTCTCATCATACTTTTTGACAGGATGATGACAGGATACTGAGGCAGTCTGACTTTGTTAGCAAATCAGTTGTCTTAACAATTTCTAGTGGTCTGGTGTTTGTCTTTTTAGTTGGAATAGTTACAGATGAGGTAGTGTGAAGAATCAGTTGAATTCACTTGAATGTAAAATTCCAGGTCTGATTTAGCCAAGGATTGTTACTCCATGTATAAAATTCTCAGAATTCTTCTTGCAAGTCCTAGTTCTCTAAACTCAGGACAAATATTAATCATGTTTGGCTTGCAGTAAGTAATGGCTAAATTCTAATAGGATTACTTGATACAACAGTTTGAGGCATAAGCACGTATGTAATGTCTAGAAAACTATAAAAAAAATTTTAAGTGTCAAATGTAAAGAATAAATTGAAACATTATGTTGATGTCTGACTATTTAAGTCGTTAAGCATGTGGACTTTGGATTAGGACAGTTTCGTGTGTGACTTCTGTCTCTGCCATTAAGTAGCCGTATTTTCTTTGTTAAGAGTTTCAGGAAACCTCACTTTCTTAGTCCCCAGAGTGGGGATGTCTGTTTCATGGTGTTACTGGATAACTTCATTATTATACTATGTTAAGCTATTAGCACTGTGCTTAGTGCAGAGTTCTGTGCTGATATTTTTTGCTGTTTTACATTTAGGTTATTCTTTGTAGCAGCCACATTTAACTTTATGCTGCTGATTAAGAAAATCACTCCTCCTATAATAGCAGTTTTTAATATTCATTTTAGAGAATTTTGAACAAACAAAACTAAAAAGAAAAACATAGTTCCGCAATCCAGTTATAGTGGTTACTATTGACATTGGCATATGTATGTTCTCTCACTTTAAAACTGAATGTATGTGTGTGTATATATGTGTGTGTACATGTATGTGCATATAAGTAACTTGTACCTTTTGAACAACTGCAGTTTTATACATGTTAATGTGCAGGTTGTATTTGGACTCTGGCATATGAAATGAGAAGCATTTTGGACTATCATAGTGCATTGTTTCTCACATCCACATTGGCAGTTCCGTACTGTTATCTTTTCCATACGTTCATGTTATATACATTTTTAAAAATTTTTATTGTATCATGTATTTAAAAATTGACTAAAAAATGGAAGTGGTTAATACTAGTGACTAAGATGTGTTGGTTTAAGTAATAAAGTTGCAATAAAGATGGACTTCAATTAGATTTGTAGAATTGCAAATCTTGTGATTTTAAGATTTATGTTCATGTAATGTAAACTAATAAATAATATGCTCAGTTATGAAGGAAAAGAATAAAAACTTTCAAATATATTTGGAATGAGAGAAAACATACCAAAGAATGTAGAGGGAAAGCGTACATAGGATTTTGTAGCTTTAACTCCCCCATACTTTAGTAATGTAACCCCATTTCAGCTTTCGTATTTTTTCAACTTTGATGTCTTCAGAAAACATTTCACCACTAAAGTAATATATGGAAGAGGACCTATTCACTTTTTTAAAGCCTAGCATGTCATTTCCCATTAACATTAAAAATTATTCGAAAACATGACTTTTACGGTTTTTGTGTTCAATTGTGTGGCTGTACCATGATTTAGTAGTAAATTTGAATATATAGATTTTTTTCCCATTTATTTTTATGTGAATAAGTATAATTATGATCAAGACATAGAAATTTAGAAGTTTAGCCAAAAAAACCGTCTTAGTTTAAGAATAATTTTAGAAGATACTGACTTGTTTGAATATCATTTTGCCTTCTTAGCTTGATTCTGTTGCTCATGATAGAATCCTAGACTGGAGGGAACTTTGAAGGCCTACTCAGCAAACCCCAGACTGACTTTTGAAACCCCTGTGGAGTGTGCTATCCTAGCAATTATCTAATTTCTCAAAAACTCCTTGGGATTTTTGGAAATGAGAGGATTGGGATAAATTGGGAGAGAACAATTGTAACTATATTTCCAGACTCTTCATGTGACTTTTGTTCATCTTTCCTAGATAAAGTGCTGTTATTATGGCTTTTCTTTCCTGAGAACGATGGGCTTGGGCTTGTAAAAGTATTTATAGTGACACTGTGATTCAAATCATGACAATAACAGCAGCTACTACAACAGTATTAACAGAGTGTTTTAAGTTTAAAAACTTATTATACATAGTCCTTTAATTGAGACACCTAGAAACTCTGCATTAAGTATGTAATCTCTATTTTACAAATGCGGAAGTTTGCTCAGCTTTATACAGCTAGTATGTTGTCAGGACTTGATTCCAGACTGCTTTTTTTTTTTCCTTTTTAATCTTTATTATACCCCTTTTGTCCAAGTTTCCAGACTTCTTGACTCTAAAGTCAGGGATTCTTTTCATTATGCCAAACTGTTTTCTCTGCCCATACCACTTGATCCATATAATGAAGAAGTTAGAAGAGAGTGTAAAGTGCTTATAATAGAAGGGTATTAACACATTTAGTAGAATTTAAATAGCAGGTTTTCCTCCTAGAATTTTTGGATTAATTCATTTTTGCTCCACTTTGTTTTTTTCCAAAACTACATTAAGCTGTCTTCTTTGTGGAGCTTCCTTACAGTGACCACTCCTGGCTTCCCTCAAATCAAGTTTGCTTACCTTTTTTAAAAGAATAGTTTGCGTTCGTCCTTAAGATAAAGTAGAATCTTTGGGATATATTTCTCTCCTGATTATTTCCTCTGGTCTTTTTCACTTATCCTTCATCACTATCTATAATTGAACTAGACATCTTACTCCTCTTCTGTTATTTTTTTCTTCCCCTTTCCTATAATTTTTTTTGGACTATAGCTGATCTGTTCCTCTTTTTTCTGTTCTCTTTTTCTTCTTTAGGAAATCACTCCCTTCCACTGCTTCTCTGTGTTGGCTTGCTCTCAGGGATACTTCCTAGCCTTTTCCACTTCTAGCACAGGTATTTGTAGGCTACCACCTCCTCTTGGTGATGCAGTAACTTTTTGTTATACCATGTGCTTTTTCCTGTTTTTATCAAATGACAGTGTTGGGATTGAATTTAATTTTATACCACCTTTTCTTAAGATTGCTATAGTGATAGTTTCTTCAATATTATTTTTATTATAAAAGCAGTGCATATTGAGAATAGAAAATTGGGAAGCTTCAGGAAAAATTAAAAGGAAATAAGGTAATTTTAATCCTATCACTCAGAAATACCATGGTTAATATTTCTATTGTATGTTCTTATAGTCTTTTCTGTATGTATACTTTGAACATAAAGTAATAGGGATGATATAGTATAGTAACTAGCTGTTATCCCTCAATGTATTTTCTGGAATTCTGTAACATTCTTCTATGAGGCAATATTAAATATGTCCATGATTTTCTTTGATATGAAAGCCCATGATTTAAATTTGGGTGTCTGGTTCCTCCCCCCTCCCAATTTTTGGCTATAAAAAAATTGCTATGCCTTTTTTATTTGAATGTGATTATGGTTTTACTAAGTCAAAGTCCTGAAAATAGGTTTATAGGATCTGAGGGTATGAATATTTTGAAGACTTTTAACAGATTGCCAAATTGTCTTTCAGAAAGATTGGACCAATTTATATTTCTACTAATACTTCTGAGAGTGTTCATTTCTTTAAATCCTAGTTAATAGAACATACCCTTTTTTTTTTTTTTTTTTTCTTTAAGCGACAGGTTCTTGCTCTGTTGCCCAGGCTGGAGTGCAGTGGCTTGATCGTAGCTTATTGCAGGCTCAAGGGATCCTCCTGCCTCAGCCCCCTGAGTAGCTGAGAATAATAGCTTGTGCCACTATACCCAGCTAATTTTTCTACTTGTTTTAGAGACCGGGTCTCACTGTGTTGTTCAGACTGGTCTCAAACTCCTAGCCTCAAGCTTATCCTCCCACCTTGGGTTCCCAGAATTTTGGGATTATAGGCATGAGAACTGCTTCTGGTCAAACATACCATTTTTTTTTTTTTTTTTTTTTTGAGACAGAGTCTCACTGTGTTGCCCAGGCTAGAGTGCCGTGGCGTCATCCTCGCTCACAGGAACCTCAGACTCCTGGGCTCAAGCCATCCTCCTGCCTCAGCCTCCCGAGTAGCTGGGACTACAGGCATGCGCCAGCATGCCCGGCTAATTTTTTCTATATGTTTTTAGTTGTCCAATTAATTTCTTTCTAATTTTAGTAGAGATGGGGTCTCGCTCTTGCTCAGGCTGGTTTCGAACTCCTGAGCTCAAACAATCCGCCAGCCTCGGCCTCCCAGAGACCTAGGATTACAGGCGCGAGCCACCGCGCCAGGCCGAAACATACCATTTTTAAAAGAAAACTTTGTGGGAGAGTATGGTGGGGGATGGGCCCAGGATTCCTTTTGTTAAAGTTAGCATTTCTTTGATTATTATAGATTGAAAATTTTGGCACATGTTGGCCATTTTTATTTATTTTGTGAGTTGTTAGTGTTTTTTTGAGATGGAGTCTCAGTCTCACCTAGGCTGGAGTGCAGTCATCATGGCTCACTGCAGCCTCCAATTCCTTGGCTGAAGTGATCCTCCCACCTTCCAGTAGCTTCCGAGTAGCTGGGACTACAGGCACATGCCACCATGCCC